AAATTTAACATGAATTGTTACTTTCTGAAACACACTTCATTTAATCTACGATTTCCTCTATTAGAATACCACCTCTAAAAATTAAAAAAAAACATGAAATACATCTCAAAATAACAATCACAATTCATTATTCTGTACTTGAGTAAATGTGCTCAATTGGGCTTTCACCAGCTTATTATCTGTAACGTTCAGCAATTTTATGGCAACAATCATGCAATTATTAACCAATATATGTCAACACTTTGAAAGAGAAATAGTTTTTTAAAATTCCTCTTTGTTTTGTAGGCTTGTTAAGGTGAAATGTTTGGTTGTTAAGATTAACTAATTCAATTTGGACAAGCTGAATTAATACAATCCAAACTGACAGTGGATCTTTGATTTGGACCTGAGATGGTACTCAAGGTCACCACTTAAAAGATCCTTAACAACTGAAGTTCTCCCTTTCCACAGTAATTTAAGTTTGTTATTTGCATTCATTTCAAATCTTTGCAACTTACTTTCAGCAATTACAGGCTTTAAAAAGCAAGAAGCACAGAATTAGATCCCAGAGAAAGTGAAGTGAGGACAAAAAAAATTGTTAAGTGACATGACTTATGAAGTTGGACATTATCTTGCTGTTTAAAATAGCAAATATTTTGTTTTCTCAAGTACAAGTTTTACTTTTAAGTTTGAAAATTAATATGCAAACACTATACTTGCATATGTTTTTGTTCAGAATGCTTACGAAGTTTTCTTTGATTTAGGATACAATCTTCTTCTGATAATTCAGATGTCAAGTGACCTTTGGTGTAGCACTGAGCTATGCAGTGTGTGTAGGCCCATGTTTGAAGCCTAGTATGTGCTGAATTAGCTGACCTCTGCTAGCAGCTATTATAACTGACTTCACTTGTAACTGTGTTAGAGTCTCTGAGCAAGCATGTCAGTTTGTTAAAGCATCTCAAAAATATTTGATTTAAAGTAATATTGGCATATGATGATGAACTTAGTACATTGAGATGTCTTCAAATTGTATCCTGAATGTAGGTATGAACATTGTATTGAGGTAGCCATCTAACCTAAAGTTGATGAGGAAATTTCAGGCTTTGCAGGAAACTACCAGATGAAGTTACCTGGACTTTGTGTTCCATACAACAGCCGTTGCCATTACTGAATTGCAGCTAGTGGTGTCACTCTTCAGTCACATTTGCGACATGCTTTCCCATGGCTTGATAATGGTAGTAGTACACCAACAGTTTTTGCAAGTTGTGTAGCCACCATTTATGATGCAAGGGTTTAAGTTCACATTTCTCAGTTGCTTAACTAAAAATAACCTCCTCCTTACAGGTGGGTGGGTAGGTAGGGGAAAGAGATAATTGTTATGTCTTTGAGGTCAAAGTATCTCTAATGCTTCATAGTGATGGAAAGTTAAAACAAAAAAAGTCAAATCTATGGCATATGCTGTCATTTAATGTGTAGATTAGGTGGGTTATAGGGGGACGGGTCTGGGTGGGATGCTCTGAGGGTCGGTGTGGGCTTGTTGGGCCGAAGGGCCTGTTTCCACACTGTAGGGATTCTATGATTCTAATATTTGAACTGGGCAGTGCACAGTATTCTAGTGTAATTTTATAGATATTTTTAATCAACATGTTCAGACATGGAGGGAGTGGACTTGAACCTAGGTCCTATGCCTCAGGAGGAAAAGACACCACCACTATGCCACAAAAGCGTTCAAGCTATTGTTAAATATTGCCAAAACATTAATGGGACTTTAACTCTGTCATCAGGACTAAATACTTCTCACTCTGGTTCAAAGCATTAGCTGGAACAATATCTTAACAAATTTGGTGAAATCAACTGGACAAGTATTGGAAATGTTATCCATTGCTGATGAACTGCATGATTTTAGTTGGTTAAACCCTAATAGTACACTAAGTATTTATACTTTATACTAAGTCACAAGTGTTTGTAATTTGTGTCTAAACTCTCCGGACTAAGTGTACTTCGGCTTTGGGCAATGATATCTTCAATATCAGTCAAACCAAAACTCGAATTAGATATCTCAAATCACTTGGTTTGGGAATTCTTCAGTACTGTTACAATGTCAATACGCTTCAAACACCCAGCTGACCAGTGTATAAAAGAAAAGAAAACCATTAGTTAGTATCATCTGTTTGTATAACTGCACCACACATGTAAGGAAGTAAGTTGGTGGGGAAAGAATGGTACTAAGGTTAAAATATAGCATTTATTTTCATCAACAGGGAACAAATTGTGCAGGTCTTCATGCCCTTCTCAGTTCTTTACAAATGAAATAAAAGTCATGAAGAACTTGGCTTATAGAGCTGGATTAAATGAGCCATCAAGGTGTCAGTTCTATTATTTTGCCTGAATGGTTAATCAGTGCCTTTAGCAGTAGGGTCACTTTTCTCTTTTTCGTTCCAGCTGTTGTCTGCGTTCTGAAACATTTGTCAAGGCAACAATAGCTATTTGTATTTCAGAAAGGTTTGAAGCATTGAAGAATAAATTAGTCACTGAAGCAGAGATTAGTAGAGAATGGACGTGTCCCAACTTAAATTATACTGAAATTTGAAGTCTGAAGAAAAAGCCTGATATGTTATACTGTTGAAGGTTCTGTCAAGACATGCAGGCTTACAACAGTGAAGATCATTCCTATTCAACCAAATAGCATGTGTCAATATCACACTTATGGCCATTTGATTTTTGTTACAAAGAATATCATAATATTATTTAGATCACTAGAATGCAAGTACTGTACATGGAAGAGTTTAGGGACAGGATTCTGAAATGTCATGCACACTTCTGGGTTCTGTCCGCATTCACAATCTAAACTGATTTCTGATGTGTACACACATTTAATACACAAGTCCATAGACAATATGCATAATGGGCACCTTGCATATTCATATACCTTTAAAATTTGTTCATGGGATGTGGGCGTGGCTGACTAGGCCAGTATTTATTGCTCAGACAGTTAAGAATCAAGTACATTGCAATGTGTCTTCAGTCATATGTAGGATGACAGATCTTTCTCCCTAAAGGATTTAGTGAACCAGATAGCATTAAGAACATGAAACATAGAACTGTACAGCACAGGAATGGGCCCTTCAGCTCACAATGTTGTGCCAAACATGACGCCAAATTAAACTAATCCCTTCTCCTGTCCTTGGTGCACATCCCTCCATTCCTTTTTACTGCAATTAACAATAATTAATGGTTAACGTTAGGCTAACATTTTATTGCAGATTTTTAGTGAGTTCGAGTTTCATCATAATGGATTCACAAGATTTGAACCCATGCACCTAGAACATTAGCCTAGAAGTTCTGGATTACTAGTCCAGTGACACTGTTTTGAATGCTGTGATGCAATCGTATCATCGCTAAGTCAATCCATTGTGATGAAAATCTTTACTTGTACCCTTGTTTTGTACTGAGCAAGTCATCCATCTATAATTGATAACATGATGGGGCAGCACAGTGGTTCAGCCGTTAGCACTGCTGCCTCATGGCACCAGGGACTCAGGTTCAATTCCACCCTCAGGCAACCGGCTGTGAGGAGTTTGCACACGCTCCCTGTGTCTGCATGGGTTTCGTCCGGGTGCTCTGGTCTCCTCCCATAGTCCAAATATGTGCAAGTTAGATGGATGGGCCATGGTAAATTGCCCATAGTGTCCAGGGATGTGCAGGCTTAGTGGGTTAGCCATGGGAAATACAGGGTGGGTTACAGGGATAGGGTTGGAGGAGATGGATCTGGGTTGGATGCTCTTCGGAGGGTTAGTGTGGACTCAACGGGCTGAATGGCCTGCTTAAATACAGTAGGGATTCTATGATTTACAGATAGCACTATTCCAAGAGATGCCAGTTGGTAATATTCAATTCTGCCCAGCAATAGGGGAGGAGCCAGTTGCAAAACGTTCAATAGATCACTCATGTGAATTCAGGGGATACCAAAGACGAGTTCTAAGGGAACAGACTGAGGCTGTCAGTCAAGTGGAATCTCTAACTGTTGTCATCTCCATGTTCGGGAATACTGTTGTTAACTGGTGACCCTTGGTCCAGGCTGCCAGAGTCTAGTGTCAACACCTCCTCTGCCAATCCTCCAGGAATTTTGTCTTAAAGTAAAACAAGACCCATCAAACAGGTTCCTTTATAGTCTAATATAGAGAAAATACCATTGGTAAATCAATTAATTTTTTGATGTGATGCAACTAAATAAAGACAGTGTACTGCTCGCATCACAGTGATAACACAGATAAAAAGGTGAGAAAACTAACAGAATTCAAATCACCTCTTTCCTTTCTATAAAACAAGTTACAAGTAGTTGCATTTAAATTAGATGCATAAAGGCTTAAAAATGTAGTATTTAGAATTCAGTCATTCATTCACTGTCCTCAACGTTTATAATGCAGGCATATACAGTTATGTGTACGCTGTTAGAGCACAAGCCAAAACATATCTCTGATGAGGTTCGTTCTGAAGTGTGGTCTGCCCTTCTGCTCAACTTGGGCCAGAAAGGATGTGAATGCAGCAGAGAGGGGCCACGGAAGAGAAATAATTACAAGTTTTAGAAACTGGTTATGAAGAAAAATTCAAGCAACTAAACCTGTTTTCACTGAAGAAAATAATCCAGATTTCTAAATCGCAAAAAGATATCAATGAAGTGCAAGTGAGCATGTCATTTTACCGAACAATTTAACATTGCACTGGAACAAAGAGCAAAACTATATCATTTAAAAGCCTATAGTTAAAATAAATCAACCTGTTTTAAAACAATGGAGAAACTTTGGTGCAAGTGGTTACTTAGAGAAGAAATATGGTGCAAATGGTTGCTTGGAGCAGATATAGCTCGTTAAGTCTATATCTCACTTCAAGATTTCAGTTTCATATTGGATAGCACCAACTATGGCATTCATCAGAAGAAATATGAATCGTTTCAATTGTTGGAATTATTCTCACCTTTAGGATTAATATAGGCAGCATAACAAGAGAACAAAAAAATTTACCTTTTTTTTATTAAGGATCACATACATGAAGGCCCGTCCACATCGTGCTTGTACATGGGTTGGGTTTGCCTTTAAAATTGTGCCAAAATCAAAGATGGCAGTTTTCTTCTGGTTAAGATGTACATAACATCGTGCTCTGGTGAGGAGTGAGGCTTCATCAGTGCCTCCTAGAACAAAAATAAATATACATTAAACTACATAAAACCATTTTACAATATGAATTAAATATAGTGACTGTTAGGCCTGTTCTATTAATTCTCAGCATATGGGCAGCACTAGCAAGGCCTGAATCTCTGTTTCCTTTTCCCTCTGTTCTAAACCGCTTAGAAATCAAGGTTTCTTTGAAATGCTACACCAATCCCTGCACAATTTTCCCCCAATTTCCCAGATGGGATATCCCAAATCATTCAGCTCCTGGGGCAGGCGCAGGGGGGAGATGTACTGACTCCTATTCTTTATTATTCACCCTTGACTGCTTCAAGGTTAATTGACTTTTATTTAAACTTTCTCCCAGACCACATTAATCTATGTTTTAAAAAGGAGCTAATTTAATCAGACTTCATTGAATTAAGAGATAACAAGGTGTAGAGCTGGATGAACACAGCAGGCCAAGCAGCAGGAAAGCTGGCGTTTCGAGCCTAGACCCTTCTTCAGAAATGGGAGGGGAAGGGGGTTCTGAAATAAATAGGGAGAGAGGGGGAGGCAGATAGAAGATGGATAGAGGAGAAGATAGGTGATGAGGAGACAGACAGGTCAAAGAGGTGGGGATGGAGCCAGTAAAGATGAGTGTAGGTGGGGACGTAGGGAGGGGATAGGTCAGTCCAGGGAGGACGGACAGGTCAAGGGGGCGGGATGAGGCTAGTAGGTAGGAGATGCATGTGGGGCTTGAGGTGGGAGGAGGGGATAGGTGGGAGGAAGGACAGGTTAGGGAGGCGGGGACAAGCTGGGCTGGTTTAGGGATGCAGTAGGGGGAGGGGAGATTTTGAAGCTTGTGAAGTTCACATTGATACCATTGGGCTACAGGGTTCCCAAGCGGAATATGAGGTGCTGTTCCTGCAACCTTCGGGTGGCATCGCTGTGGCACTGCAGGAGGCCCAGGATGGACATGTCGTCTGAGGAATGGGAGGGGGAGATGAAATGGTTCGCGACTGGGAGGTGCGAACCGTGAGCATAGGTGTTCTGCAAAGCGGTCCGCAAGCCTCTGCTTGGTTTCCCCGATGTAGAGGAGGCCACAACGTACCACATTAGCAGATGTGCAGGTGAACATCCGCTTGATGTGGAAAGTCTTCTTGGGGCCTGGGATGGGGGTGAGGGGGGAGGTGAAGGGGCAGGTGTAGCACTTCCTGCAGTTGCAGGGAAAAGTGCCAGGTGTGGTGGGGCTGGAGGGGAGTGTGGAGCAGACAAGGGAGTCACGGAGAGAGTGGTCCCTCCGGAAAGCAGATAAGGGTGGGGAGGGATTGCAGATGGTGGAAGTCTATTATAATGTATATGCTGAAGACCAAAAAGTGATACCATTACAGTTGGACTTCATTAATAAGAAAATTTATTTTCTCAAATTTTAACTGGCAATGGGAAGATTTAAATTTTAAAAAATGACCACACCTACAACTAAGTTAATACACAATTCCATTGAACCACTTGATGGATTTCCATGGTAATTCTATACAATGGGATCAATTCAAAAGACCCACACTTGATTCAGAAAGACATATTACAATGCAGCTAGTGTTCAGGTAATTTAAGTTTTATGTCATTATCTGGAGAATGCATTACTGGCATCATATTAAACCTGTGACAACGTATATTATTTTAGTTCATAGCTGAAAAAAAACACATTCTATCAAAACTTTCCGTCTTGCACTCATCAGGATAATTGGCAAGAAATACCAATGTAAACTAAAAACAGTATTTCATTGTATAAGAGGAAAAAGAGTGCTGAATGGTTGGCAAGTGGGCTCTGATTGGTAGAAGTATTGCTCAGAAGTCACAGAATTGTTAAGATATGGAAGCTTTTTTTTGGCCCACTGTATCTGTATCAGCTTTCCAAATGACCACAACTCCATATTATTTTCTTGCACTTTCCCTATAATCCTGCATATTATTTCTATTTAAAATATCAATTAATGCCCTTTTGAATGCCTCTATTGTATGCAAAAAACTGCGCACTAGTGTTTTCTCACATTGATTTACTTCTTTTGCAAATTGTTTTAAATGAGCTCTTTCATTCCCTTGACCCTTTCACAAGCAGGAACAGTTCCTCTGTTTACTCTATACAGATCTCTCATGATCTGGAAAACCTTAACCAAATCTTCTCTTTGTCTTTTCCTCTCCAAGGAGAATAGTCCTAACTTCTTCATTTTTCTGGTTAACCTAAGAATGCACTAGTTAGATGATGACTAACAGTTAACTGCCAAGCTTTGTTTAATTTTTTAACCAGGCAGGTTGATTCTGATGTGTGAAGGTACTGTCCTGAGGAATGAAGCAATGAACCAAGACTGTCGTCTATTTTGTTGAGTCGAAACAGGCACAATGAGTATATATGTTCTGCCAGAATGACTGTCTTTCTGCATAAGCAAGGCATGTAATGAAAATAGAGCAAAGATTTGTAGTAAGTACAGACTTCTAAATTCTTCATTTCAGCAACACAGGATGCATTATGAAAGGATTTGAATTACCAGCGATTATAGAGAACATGCATGAATTACTCATGTATTTACCACAAAACATTTGCCATCAAGCTTGGAGCAATATTGAAGCTACTTTGATATTTCCATAATCCATAGCAGCTAGTTTATTGCAAAAATCAGCACCGAGAGTTGTTCAGTACAGGAGAAGCATTTTGATAAACAAAGATGTTTGTCCCATTAGCCAGTTTTTAAAATTATTCAAACTGAAGTGAGGCCAATAATTACTGGCATTGGAGATTAGAATACAATTTACTTTACATAATGTCACTTCTGTAGTGTTTTAATAAAAAAAAATTAAATTTAACCAGCAAATTGTAGCCCAGGCACTATAAATTGGGTGACTTATTTCTCTAGCACAGAACTGATTATTGCATTGAATTGCTTACTTGACTATTCCAGCATTTGCCTGACTTGCCTCCCATTTCTAACCTGCATAAACTGGAGTTCACTACAAATTCTGTTTCCATAATTTATTTATAACATGATCCTCTCAGCTAACATCTTTGCATTTGCTGAATAGCACTAGTTCTGTGTCCACTAGTGTTTCAATTTTTAAACCGTTATCTTAGTGTTCAAAGCCCTCCATTGGCTCACACCCCACCTGCACCGATTTTAACCTTCTTTAGCCCCAAAACTTTCCAAGAACCATATCTTCGGCATCGGCCATTTCCTTTACTCAATGATTTCTTTTTTATTCTTTTAAGAAATATGCATGTTTCTGGCAAGGCTAGCATTTATTACTGTCCCCAAGAAAGTTATGATGAGCTGCCTTTTTGAACTGCTGTAATCTATCTGGAGTAGTTAATCTCACAGCACTGTTAAGAAGTTAGAGACTTATTACCCAACCACAGAAAAGAAACAATGATATGGTTCCAAGTCAGGATGCTATTTTGGGAGGAGGCTTGGCAGGTTTCTGCAGTGCATTTGGTATATGATATACACTTCTGTCACTGTTTCCCAGTTGTGGAGAGAGTAAATGCAAGATAATGATTGGGGTGTCATTCACACAGTCTTCTTTATCCTGCATGGTAATTGCACCTGGTACTCTCTGTTGGAGATGGCAATATATGGCAAGAACCATTCATGTCGCAATCATCCCAAGCATGAATGTTGTCCAGGTCTTGCACTATTTGGACACAGATAGCTTTAGTAACCAAGAAGTCCTGAATGGTGGGCAATGTGAAATCATCAGCGCATATCCCGATATCTGACTTCATTGTAGAGGCAAGATCACTGGTGAAACAGTGTTAGGCCTGGGACACTATCTCAAGGAGCCCCCGCACTGCATTATCCTGTGGTTGAGATGATTGACCTGCAGCAACCACAACCGTCTTCCATTGTATTCCAAACGAGTCAAACCAGCAGAAGGTTTCTCACCCGATTTTCACTGACTCTAGCTTTACAGCCACCGATATCTTTCCCTCGAGTTTAGTCTTTTGTCCATCCTTGGACCAAGGCTGTAATGTAGTCAGGAGCTGAGGGGGCTTGGTGGAACCCAAAGGGTGTATGTCAGTGAGCAGGTTATTGCTGACTAAGTGCTACTTCATAGCACATCACTAACAACTTCCATCACATCTGATAGTTGAGAGTAGACTGATGCCTATATTTGGCTGAGTTGGATATGCCCTACTTTTTAAATGGACATGACACCCTTAGGCAATTTTCCAAATTGTTAACTAGATGCCAGTATTGTAACTGTTCAAGAACACTTGCTTAGGGGCATAGTTGATAACTCCAAGTGAAGAGTTCCAAGTCTTTGATCTGCTCTAATAGCACAGTATTTATGTAGCTGATTCAATTGCAGTCTTCTAGGTTCCACAGAGAAAAATCTACTGTCTGATTTTGTTTTCCCCTCTTGCTATTGAAAAATGGCGTAAGCAAAAGCCTCATCCATTTAAAGCCCTGCACAGATTTATAATTGTGCCTGATTCTCAACCTACAACTAGTAAAGAGAAGGAACATAGAAAAATGTTAGCACCGTTGGATGGGTGTTGTTATATAATGTTGCACTGTCTGGAAAGAGCTAGGAATTAATTAGCTAGGAATCAAATGTACGTTGGGAAAATATGCCAGTAGGGCCACAAGCACAATGGCACTTGAGTGTCAAGTTTGTGTGTGTAATTTGACACCAGCTTGTAGGCAGTTTTCAGCCAAGGCAACTAGAAAATTCCAATTAATCAAACAGCTCTCTCTTTCCAAGATCTGAGAACCAGAAGATTAAAAAAAACTCATAACAGTAACATATAAAACAATGTGATCGAAAGACAAAAAGACCAAATCAATGTATACATACATCTATGGTGCTGGACATGATGAATGCAGAAACAGGATATCTTTGTGAAAGGTTTGCCTAGTGTAAAACACAATTTCCTACAACTTGTCTTTTATTTGAATACAAGACAAGGAGCAGCACTACCAGCAGTGATAAAGACATCTACAGCTTGATGAGCTAAATAGATACGTTCAGTGCAAACTATGTA